CTTACTATTCCTAATTTACCAACATACGTTGCCACCATTGCCAAGCATTACATCTTTGCCAACAGTTCCAACAGCTAATAGACCATTTCCATCGTTGCCTACGTTTTCCTCTGTCGAAAAAATGACTTTGCCTCCAATGTCTGCCAATATTCCTCTTCCAACATGCCATCATTTTCGAACATTCCCACAAATCCAACACTTTCACATATATGTTGTCGTTAGTTTTTTGGGTGGGTTAAGGGATTTCATATGTTTTTTTTAAAAATAAAATGAAATACCCAAGAAGGGCCATTTATTAATAAACAAAAGGGAACAAAATTCTAAGCCCAAAAGTGGCCAAGACCCAAATTACAAATTGGAAACTACTAAATTAAAAATAGGCAAGAGCAGTTGAAGGGTTTAAGAACTCCATTAATAGATCCATCAGGAATCCTTAGCAACAAATTAAGATGACCGCTGGCAACTTGGTTTATTCCACACCATCTCATCTTTTCGACCACCATTCTCTACAAACAACACTATGTTCGGCTTGTAATCACTTATACGTCAAAAATTCTCACTGACGTTATGATTCTACCCCAATGAAGACTTCTTCAACATGATTGTGGTAGATCTATGCTGGCTCAACAAGGATGTGGCTCTGTATCTCTACATCAAAAAAATGGACCCCCAAATGAAGGTAAAGTTACCTCTGATCCTATTCAAAGTGAAAGATTTGAAGCTCCATTTACTTTACTTTTCAAACTATTAGTTTATCCTCTCAACAGATTGAACCCCTAAGGAGTTGATACCACTGTTTGAAAAAATAACCTTCCAGTTGAAAAATAAAGTATCTAGAATTTACTGAAGCATCACATATGTATTTGTTGAACTTTCGATCATTATCAACTTTGTGTTCCGTAACCTGTATTTTGTACTCTTTTAATTCTTAGATTTGGTATATTGTCCCTTTCCATTTGAATAATTGTTTGTGCTTGAAGAGGAGTTTCCTGTAAATTTGAGAATTGTCTTCGGTGTACCTGCAAAATCAACAGCATGGTTAGCAAAAAAATTCGCCAGATTGTTCCCTTCCCGATAGGTATGCACCACCTCCACTTCTATATCCATCATCAATCTCTTTATGTATCCAACATCCAACGATATCAACCAGGGGACCTCCCAAATTCCATTTATGTGCAACACTTACAGGTGAAACGTAATAACTTGGATAAATAAATAAACAGAAAACAGGGAAAACAAAGTGGCTATTGATAAAGAAAAAGATAAATTTACGTGAGATCACAGAAATAACAATATCAAGAACATAACTACTCATGATAAAGAGAATGAAATGAAATAACCTAGATAAAGGCATACACGGTAAACAGGGAAAACAGAGCAGCTTTTGATAAATAAAGAGGAGAAATTTTTTTTACCCGACAATGATGTATTTAATTGAGGCACAGAAAAGAGAAACATATTAATGGACAATGACATGTTGTTGGGGGGAATTATATAGATGAATGAAGTATACATAAAGGTTTGAGAAGATGGAAAGATCACAAAATGCAAAAATAATCACAGCAGATGAAGAGATGTGGTCTTATTTTCAAGTTATTAGTAGTAGTATTCATTGAATTGGGTTGACCATTTAAAATTAATTTAGCATAAATATCAAAAGATATGAGATATATGTTATATTTCGTACACATATTTAGTAGAGTAGTGGAAAAGACTCTTAGTGACATTATTATTATTTATTTAAAAGATTCTTAATTGGTTATTCAATATCCGAAGGGTATTTTCATTTTGGATCCGAATTAAAGCAATGGAACTTGAGAGTTGGAAAAGGGCAGTTACAGTGATCGAGGGAGATTGAGCAACAACTGTACGTTTCTGGAGAATTAAATTAGGGCGGAGATTATCAACAAATTTAATTTTTAATAAATTAATACTTAAGTTATACTGTAGGGTCAAAACGGTAAATCAATTTTGGGGTTAAGCTCTTCTTAGTTATAGTAATATATGATATATGATGGTATGATATGATGATTATTTGACTTCTGCGACATTCTAAAGCTTGAAATTGATAATGCGAGAATAAGGCATGTTTTATTAGACAATATAACCTATAGCTGAGTACTTTTATGCACAAAACGCCTCATAAATGTTGCCTTTTTTCTTTTGGTATATATATCACATGTTACTACTATTAACAATAGTTAATAGCAATGTTTTAAAAGGCGGGGGCGTGGGACAAGCCGTTTTACTTAGCATAGGGTGAGACATAAGCCTTGAGACGTGGGGCGTAAGCCTTATGGATCTTTAGATTTTTAATTTACAATATATAGTGTAATAATATAATAACAGAATATTATAAAAATACATTAATAGTTTTAAATAATTACAAACATGATCAAAGAAACTCATAGAAAATAAAACTTATAATATTTTTATTATACAAGTATAAATAATCTAATATCTTAACTTTCTAATAATAAAAGAATCATTATTTCTAAAAATATATTAATATCATAATATACAATTTACCCCCCCAAAAAAAGATAATCAATAAAACTTATTAGTATTATAATAAAAACATCACTCTATCATGGATAAAAATAAAATTACTTTCGAATAACTAAATAAAATATGATAATTTTAAGGCATATGACAAAAACATGAAGACCAATGATAAGTGAAAAACATAAATTTTAGCTATGTATTTTTAAAAGAAATGTTACGTAATATACAATCAGTCTTCCTGTGTTACCAAATAGTAAATATGTGATACTACAACTTGTTATTTGAGGACTCTCAATCTTCTTATTTCTATAAATTAAAAAACGATTAAGTATCATTCACTTATTAAGAATTATGTTGGTCAACAATGTTAACAAAAGAATTTAACACATAATTTATGTAAGATTTGTTAGGCAAGCCCCGAGCATTGGGTGTTGGGTGTGCTTAGGGTGTACAACTAGATGCTTAGAGTGTAAGTGTTACAGAACTAAGTCTCACACTTGAGTCTTGAGGCGTTTTGCTAGAGATCCACCCGAGGCAAGTCCCAATTGAGTTCTTTAAAACACTGGTTAATAGTACTGGCTCTGGTCATAATGCTGTGATGACCAAAATGGTGTTAAGGCTTTTTTTCCTTTCCAAATGACACATAACTTTGTTATAATGAACAATTATTACCATGTATAAAAATTGATTGAAAAAGACTTGTTTTGTTTTTGGTAAAGTAATTTAAAAAGAGTTGATATAGTGGATCTTCTCCCCCTCATATAATTCATTTGTTTTTCTCACTGCCGTAGTTTCCTAATGCAGGTCAAAATACTTCCGATGTCACAACTGGGAAATGGAATAGTACAAGAATTGGATCTTCCGTGGAATTGAAATTGAAATGTGGATATATGTAATCGTGCTGAGTCATGCAATCAAAAATCAGTGTTGAAAAGCCAAAGTATGAATGGATCTGTTTGTAGGAATGGAGAAGTAGTTGTATCTGCTGTTGAATTGTCACAATATTTCAGCGATGGAGAAACCCTAGCCTTAATACAAAATGTGAAATTGGCGACACCAAACTAGTAATGTTTTCAAGAGGTTCCCCACTCCGTGTGTTTAGTTTCGGTTTAAGTGAGTAACTAACTAACTCACTAATTACTTTCATTTTCCATCAATACTACTTTTCTCACTCAATGCATATGCAGCCGGATACCTGGTTCTCACAACTACTCCTATTCTTGGAGTTATTTGCTTCTGCCATGGTTCACATATGTCTATTTCTAGGTTTTGTCAGGTATTTACTTGGACTACTCCATGCATTTATTTACTTTTCTTTACAACTCTTTCAAGTTTTTCTTTTCTGCAGCATTCTGGTTTATCTGATCTTAATCCTGGCAATGCTGTTCTAATGGACAGTGGTGTAACCATAGCTCACTGGCGGAAGCTCTTCTTCCAAAAACTAGGGGTAAGGAATATGTGAGGTATCTAACATCTATTCTTCTTTGCCTCAAAATCTCTCCTCTTATTTATTTTGATACCTACATTCTTTCAAATCTCTTTGTATTTATGTAATCAATTTTTCTTATGTTCATGACATATCTCCAATTCAATGTTTCCTGGTATGTACATCTGTTTTGGTTCTTGGAATCATAACTATTTTGGAATTACTACGTAATGGGAAACATAGTTTGCTCAGCTAGTCTTTTTGGGATCACATGTTAAATTTCTTTAGGAAATTCGACAAAAGCTTTTCTAAGGAGATTTGGGATTTACGCTTAATTGATTGATTGATTGAAGGAGAATTTGGAAGACTAAACTGGATAATTAGCAAAGACAAAAAGGAATTACTTCTTCGTTAAGTTAGTTCGATTTAGAGAGAAAAGTTGCTGTAAAATTGTGAAGGAGAAAGATAACAGTTTGGATCACTAAATTTAGCATTCCAATTTGTTTTCACATCATCTATGGGAAGGTAGAAGTGGAATTTGCAATTTTTCTAGAGTTATTATATATGGTGACTTTGTACAGTCAACTTAGAAAACTTTCCACTTAGGTTTTAGCTGGATTAAATACTGTCCGTATAATCTATAAGTTAGTAGCTATCTATATCTCTGAACTAAATGAATATTTTCTTATGAACTATTGGCTTTCTGATCCTGATAAAATGTTCTCTGCCTGCAATGGTTTAATTGATGGAGCACCTACTTTTGAAAGCTTATGTAGTATTATAATTTTAGCATACATGTGCGCAGAGTTGCAAGCTAGACCACTGTTTCTAGGGTTGTACGCACTAAGTAGTTTGGTTTTGATCGTCTTTTTTATTTACTGCAGATGTTAAGAACCTAGATTCTCTATTTTACTATGTCTATTGGTTTAAAGTACTTATTACTGACATCCATTTAATGCACAAGCGCCACTAATGGTGATCTTTTTATTGTTATTTAGATTAGGGCTCCTGAAGATCATGGTGGATGGGACTGGCCTGAAATATTTCCAGTGAGTACTAGTCCGGCAGAGTTTTATCCATCCCTTCCCAATTCATCTCCAAATTTTGAGCTGTCCGGCACATTTGGAGCTTCAAATGGAGCTAGACAGTCATGGAACAATATGTCTATTTCAAAGAACCCTCAGCGTCCACCATTGTCAAACTTAGATGGGATACAAGACCTGGAGAATGGATCTTCATTTCCTTTAGATTATATTGGTTCAAATTCTAAGGACACAAATACTTTCAATTCTCTTCCAGATCTCAAAATTTCAAAATCGTTCGGTATCAACAGTGCACTATTGCAAATGGACGGAAGTAATGTCTCCTCAAGTATTGAGTTGAGACTTGGGCATCCATCCCAGCAAAGCAAAAAGTTGGGAACTTTAGCTCCACAAACTTTTGAGTATCATTCCATTGTCAAACCAATGGAATACCAACAACCATTGTTTCCAGAGCCCCTTATGCATAAAGGTCTGTTATTATTTGTGAATTAATCCCTTTAGTTCTTGATATCTCTTTAAGCTTACACCTGTCAGTGTCACACAGCAGTTGAATCACAGGCAGTGGAAGAAAGCAAGTCAAATTTTCATATGTTGAATTCGAGTTCAATAAGTGGAAAGTGCCAGCCAGACCTTGTCAACTCCGCCTATGGACTCCACAATGCAACAAGTGAATCCAGAACTAGAAATTCCATATTTCCTGTGGTACAAGCGCAGTTCAAGGGTCCTTCAGAAGGACTACTGTACTCTGAAGATATCAAAAATATGGTTAATGGAAGTCATACTCCACCCAGAGAACCTCAGTGTAAATCCCTTACACTAAAGTGCAACCAAATTGATTTTCATTGTGCTAGAGGTAAGATGACTAATAAGGAATTTAATGTTGACGCTTCATGTGCTCTTGGACGTGGGAACAGTGATAAAGTTGTGGCCAACAATATTGTTAATTTACACAGTGCTGCTGAGTTGAACTTTGGACTCTACTCCAAGAATTACAAAAATAAAAGGACTGTTAAGACAATTGTGGAAGGGCTTAGTCATAGCAATCGCTTGGCCTTACATGAGAAGAACCTTCATTCATGCAAGCCCTGTGGTATTATGATGGATATGCCTGATGCTCAGAACACCCTTAATTTGTATGGGAAGACATCTTTAATTTCTCATGATGGACCCTTTGATAATGGTAATATCAGGTCTGTCTGTAAACCAATGTCTACAGCAGCTCCACCATCGCAGGCAGTCCCGTTGGGGTTTCCATTATCAAGTTCAACTCTAATTGGAAATCAAACTCTAGAACTATCTAACAAAGAGTGTTTGAATGGAAGGCAGGTTAAACTCAGTGAGAATCCAAGACCGCAAACATTGCATCATAGGTTGGAGGTTCCTACTCCTGCACCTGTCAGTTCCTCTACCACAGCCTCCAAAGGGCATATGATATGCAGGAATCCTTTTTACAAAGCACCAACATCCAGAAACCAGTTATATGAACCCAATGTTGTGAATATGTTACATGCGTCTAAGACTGCAGCAGTATCTACCTTCTCTGGTGTTAGTGATTATGTGGGAAAGCATATTCAAACTATAGCTCCTATTACTGGTAAAGGACTGCTGTTTCCTTTTCAGTTTTCCCTCTATCTTATTTGATTTGTAATTGTAATGAATAGGAAGTTTATGTCCATCCAGATCAGCTTGAAGGTTTTAATTTTTCAGCTTTATCACGTGGAGCATCGCTTCGTGCTCAAGACTCAGGAGTGTACTGTCAGTTTTCCTCTGATTTTAATGCAGTTCACTGGCCTTACCTAAGGTAACTCTAGTGAAATATTTTCTGTAACTTTACTTATCCATTTGCAATCAATTCTGTCTGTTAGTGTCGATGTTTGGTTATAACTCTGCCCTTGGCCTGAGTCACCCTAGAAGATAATTAATTTGTTGTATGCAGAGATTCAGTATGTACTACTCCCTCGCTCCCAGATAACTGCCATAGTTGAGGACTCCTCTGATGTTCCCTGGCTTTACCCAATTTATTTCCCTCAAGCTGATGAACATCCTCCAAAGCTGTTGTGTCCATTTTCAGTGCAAGCTATAGGACCAGTCGAGAGCAATAAAAGGCTAGAAGTCAACTCAGATTTATTTCAAGGTCGTATATGTATGTGTAGTATAACCTCCACTTCAAATCAATTGAATCAATGCATGCAATGTTGCTTCCACATGCCTATTCATTGATAACCGAAGCTCTTCAAATAAATCTCCTCGGTACTTGAACTTGATTCATTAAAGCCGGCAACTCCATTCAATTAGTCAGGCATAAGCTGTTATGGTCTTTAGGGAAGGATCGATTCACAAGGCAATCTATAAATTAAGCTCGTTAAAGGAGGTCGAAACCTTAGAGTTCAATGGAAGAGAGAACTTTGATTTCTTGCTTTTTGCTAAAGTATGACTTAATGATTTATTCATCAGAACCCCCTTTAAATAGGAGTCTTATTACATCAATAGGAAGTCTAATTCTTGTGAAAGTAGGAAATCTAAATCCTATTCCAAGCGAATAACTATAGCTTAACGCCTTAACCTAATCCTTGTGAAACTATTAAACATAAATCCTATTCTAGAATAATAAAGAAAGCTACTAAAATATGATTAAATAATAAATAAATCTACTTTAAAATATAATTAAATACTTAATTAAATGGACTTTCCCTCATCCACAACATTACTCCCCTCACGTTAGAAGAGCTTGTCCTCAAGCTAAAATTTCAAGGAAATCATCCAGAAAATCAGGAATAGTATCAACTTAATTATCCAATTCCAGCCTTAGCTTGAAGTTGACATTGATAAATTTCAACTCTATTAGTTTGCTGAAGCAGGACTAATTCGCCTATTAGGTTGCTTAGAGTTTAAATTATTATAGAGATGACACTAGGTGATTTCCACTTTAGAACTATGTATGTAATTAAGGCATTCTTCCCATCAACCTAAACCTTGGTGGGAAGAGATACTAGAGGGTGCGAGGTACCCTCAAGCTGGTTTGGGTACCACTGTGGGACAAAAAAAAAGATTGAAAAAGTTGCTTCCCAAAATGACTTAGTTTGTTGATAATACATTTCTAAAGTTGTATGGGACAAGGGAAATTGACTAGTGCTTATGTTTCAAAAAATAAAATTCTTGGATTGTGGCTCAACTTTGGAAAGCATACCTCAAAACGGATCTTAAAATTAATTAATATTGAGGACAACAATGTATATATGCAATCTTCTTTTCTTTATTTCTATAAGAGATGATAATCCAACATGTGTAGATTGGTGAACTTTGAAACATTATAAAAAAAAATGAATGGTGAACTTTGAAGCAAAATTTCGTCAGGTGGCAACAAATTTATTTGTGCCAAAAAAAAGAAAAAGAAAAGATTGATATGAAACTTCTAGGAGTACATTTTCTCCCAAACTAAGTCTGAAAAAATATGATTATCCAATGCACCCAAGAGTGTAGCCTAGTGGTCAATGAAGTAGGTTGAGAACTATGATCTCAGGTTCAAATCTTAGGGAGGCAAAAACGCTAGGTGATTCTCCCATCTATTTATGCCTTGGTGGACAAAACCTGTGTTGGTGGGAGGTAACAGGTATCTCAGGGAATTAGTCAAGGAGTGTGCAAGATGGCCCCGTATCATGGCTATATCAAAAAAAGGAATATGATTATCTAACCAAGAATCATATAGAAAATGTGGATTTTGTATAACTCAACAACTTCCCGCACGTGCAATTCATCTCTAGAATTCACATCATAATTTTAAAATTGAGATGTGAGTGAGACTAAGCTTGCCAAATGTTAGCTCTGATATGCTGTTGAATTGTGTAAACTAATTCAGCTTAAAAATTGGAATGGCAGAGAGGGACCCTTTTATTGATCTCATTATGTCTGTAGTATGCCCTCTTCCTCTGATGTGTGAGCGCAATATTTTTCCTCTTGCACCAAGCACATGGAGATATCTCGTTGATGGACTGCAGCGAGACTCGAATCTAGAAATTTGAAAGAATTTGGGCACATCCAATCCAAAACCTTAAGGTAGTGGTTGGAGTAATACAAAATATTTATGAACCCTTTGCCTATTGGAAATATTTTTACTTTTACTTCAAAGTAGAAAGGAGGATCCTTGTATGATGCAATCTAGTTTTATGTAAGGAAAGGAATGCCAAATGTTTCGAAGGGAAGATGGATAGTGAACAGCAGCTTAAATACAAATGTTTATGGCTTTTAGCTTTTTGTGCAATGAGTAATCTCGCGGATGTAAAGGATGAACATAGCATGATAAATTTCATGTAATCTTTGCAACAATAGGGATCTCCTTATAATACTTGTACTGTCTTAGCACCATCTTAGCGCTAAGCTTTTCCTCTTTTTAATATACAACTTACTTACTTTTTAAAAAAAAATAAAAATGCTGCAATATAGCGAGGCCCATTAAATATATCCTTCAAAGTTATATGATACCCATAGACAAAGGAGGAGCTTAATGGTTAAGACCCTCCACTAACCAAAAGGTTGAGTTTCAAGTCACTTGGGGAACAAAGTGGGAAAGGATTACTGTTGGGCTCCTAGGGTAGGGGGTTTGGGAAATTGAATTCACTGTATCAATGAAAAGTTATTTAGAACTATACTATAACAATGAAATCAGTAACAGTTGTTCTTTCAATGATCATGTCTGTTTATATTCATTTGACTTGATCTTATTCTAGTCCTTCAAATTTTTGTTCTGATTGATTTCTTGGTTTTACATGGGCTTAGACATGGAGGCTCTGAAGGTAATATTTCTCCATCAGTTGAGCAAGCAAATTACTTTCCGGAAGCATCAAATTCATTTATGTCTTGCCTCTGTAACTGTGCTGTTCAGCCGGATGTTTTTGTTGAAAAACATCATTTCATTGGTGAACCTCTGGATACTAATCAGGTAGAAGAGAGTGACGTTTCTGGCTGCATTAAGAATTTATTTGCTTGTAAGTTGAATGACAGTCAGAAAGTGCCCTTGGACAATGTGGCCTCTTTGGCAGGAAGTGATTTAATGCGGAATAGGATAAATAAACTGGAGTGTCACTCTTCTCAATGGAGAGATGTTCCCAAAAAGGTGACTGGAGCAGCTAGTCTGACATTTAAGGAACAAACAACAGGTTTCCTGAACATGAATGAAAAAATGAGGGGACAAAGTGCTGATGCCAGTGGAAACAAACCCAGTTGTGATGTTGCTTTTCAAAATGTTGAATATCTAAAGGAGCCAGAAATATCCAATGTTTCTTCTGGAGGATCTGCACCTGTTGTTAGTGAGGCATCTGCAGTGATTCATGACAATGAGTTCACTACTGATGATCAAAAGACTGTGGCAAGTAATGTTGTAGATGAAGGATCAAGAATCAACAGATGTTGGTCATCTAATGATGCACAAGGCAGTGAACAAAGTGCAGAGTTTCTTGGTGTTGCTTGTGAATTCAACCCCATGGATGCAGGACCATCCAAAGGGTTTGCTGATAATTCTTCTGATAGTCTGATTGATGAACTTCGACTAAGAGATCCCTTAAAATTGAACAAAATGCAGACCCATTCTAGCTTCAGCATTCAAGAAAAGAGCCACCATATTCAGAAAGTGTCTGATTTCTCCAAAAAGGTGATTAGAAAAAGAACCAAATGGAGAAAGTTGGATATAACTCTTCCTACAGTCTACTCTGCTTGTGGCTATCCAGAGGACACTTGTGGTTCTGGTCTGCAACATCCGTGCAATGATGAAAAAGGTCCCCCCCTATCTGAAAATGGCAGTGCAGAAAAATGTGTGTATTCCATAGAACCAAGTTTCAGAGAAAGGAGATTCAGAATGCGTTCATTGAATACTCTTTCTTGCAGTGGTAAAGTTAATTGCCATGATGCAAAAGCTGTTGGTACTCAGTCAGATCTTTTAAAGGTCAGTGATGATGATACCTTTGTAGCTTGTGAATTACCAAGAAGAAAGAGACTGAAACTGGACACTGCAACACCTGTTAGGCAGGCAAATGAGGGATATTATCTAGGTGTTGACGCTGCAGCTAAGTGCAGTTTGGTAGATACCTCTATGTTTCCTGAGATGCATGAGAAGGCTTATAGAAGGGCTGTAAGACCAATAGTGGGGCAGAAATATGGAGTAATTTCTAATGCGAATCCATCAAAACCAGTCAAATTTGTTTCTCTAAGAAAAATTTGTGACTTATTGGAAAAGTATAGCTCTTCTGGAAACTCCACTGCAAAATTGACTTCTGTAAAATTCAGGAAGGCAAGTGCAAAAGAAAAACATCGACGCATTAACAGTTCTCCATATCTCAAGAAAGTCAAAAGTTGTAATGCCAATTGTGTTGTAACTACCAAAAAATCTAAAAGTCATCTCTTGACATCTAGTGAATTGGATCCTTGCCAATCATTAGAGCAATCCAAAAGAGCCCATTGCCATGGAGGTGAACAAGGGGCTCACTTATTCTACTCTCTAGAGAAGAGAAGGTATGATTACCTTATAGAAACTGGTAATATTGCAGATGGTTCTCTGCCAACTCCACAGAAGCCATTGTCCAAGGAGTTTCACAAACAGGGCCTTAATGAGTTGACACTTGAAGGTATGATTTCAATAACCCGATTCTCAAATCGCTCTAGGGACATTTCTAACAATAATCTGGTTGGTACTGTAGGTATTCATCCAGGAGAAGGAGGTTCTACCTGTGCTCGAACAGAGGTTTGTTGTTTCTTAATAACAGTTTAGATATACTTGACTCCTGGATAAAGATTTTCTAAGATTGTTCTACCTTCAGGGATACAAGGGACGCAAAAAGGAAGGAGTGCGGTATAATCTTCATCAATATTCTGAGTCTGGCGGTGGAGGCCTTGTTGCCCAGGAGCAATTAAATGCCTGGATTCACATAACTGGACAAAAGCCATCAAGAAAGGAGATTCTGAGGCTTCCACCTAAAGATGTTGGATATGATTATCGGGTATGTCTGGAACAGTTGGGTTGCTTGACAATTGTCAAACCTATAGTGTTCCTACTGAGAAGTCACGTGTATAGCTTTTTTAATTCTTGTGCGCTTTGATTTCAGTCTATGCTACCGATGTGTTCTTCTTTTTTACTCTTTATTTTTGCAGAAGGAATATGTTCGCTATAAGCACTCCAAAGCGTGGAAGAGTTTGGTTGTGTATAAATCTGGCATTCATGCTCTTGGTCTTTACACGTCTAGGTTTATTTTACAAAGCGAAATGGTCTCATCTGTCTCTATTCTCTTCCTCTGAATTTGCAAGTTTCTCATCAGCAAATTTAACTTTACTTTCACTTTTTACCTCTAGGTTGTTGAATATGTGGGTGAGATAGTGGGGCTCCGTGTGGCTGACAAAAGAGAAATTGAGTACCTGTCAGGAAAGAAATTGCAGTATAAGAGTGCTTGTTATTTCTTTAGGATTGATCAAGAGCATATAGTTGATGCAACCCAAAAGGGAGGGATTGCCCGATTTGTGAACCATTCATGCCTGGTAGGTGTCTTCCGCAGCAATTTTGTCCAGTTATTCTCTCTGGTCAATTATGTTACTCTTTCGTATAACTATTTTGATGAAGTGCTTGCTGTTTGACATTTTGTCTCTTTCGTCATCTCTGCTTTAATAATTTTGATGTAATTTATGTTTTTTTTTTATAAGAGAAAAAGATATAAAAGATTGATGTCAGTTTGATTGATCAAGTATGATGGACTCAGCTTTTCTTCTTTTGCTAATTCATTTTACCAGCCAAACTGCGTTGCCAGAATCATTTCTGTGAGGAATGAGATGAAGGTAGATACATTCCACTCTACTTCTTTTCGCTTATATTTTGTTATATTTCATAGTTGTCTCTTATCAGAATATGTTAATAATAGTGTCATTATGCAGGTAGTATTCTTTGCTGAGAGAGATATCTATCCTGGAGAAGAGATAACATATGATTACAATTTTAACCATGAAGATGAAGGCGAAAAAATCCCCTGCTACTGTAATTCAAAGAATTGCCGGCTGTATCTAAACTGACAGCTTGATACTTCATAATCTGGGAGCCAATTGAAGTATATGGATGTAATTATTTGGCCTCTGCAGAAGTACGTGCTAATATTCTCGTGAAACGCCAGTACCATTGTTTATAATCTTGTACATTCAGATGCATGTATGTAAATAAATATTTTATTTTTAGTTAAATATCTCGATCTGCAGTTTCTTTTCACCCAGTCTTTTGGTTTCTTGATTTAAAGTTATAGCACCAAACAAATCTTACTTACAATTCTGCTAATAAATGCATACACCCCAGCAACAACACCATTTCAATTCAAAACAAGTTAGGATTGACTATATACAAATCTTAATTGATCACATTGTTCCACGTAAGTTACATCTCTTGCAAAGTAATTTTACAAAACAGAAATTTTAAAATTGCATCACTAATTGAGCTAACAAATGCAATGTTTACTGCCTAAAGGTTGAATTAAATGCAATAAGGTGAGTAATACGATGTTGTATGTTTGATGAGTTAGAGTTTTACTGAACTGACCACCAAGCTCAAGGAGTTAGGATGCCTAAATGTCAATATGATATATTAACCATCCTCCAGATTGCCATTCTGCAACTTGTAAGGCAATTTAGGATGCATAAATTCTAACTAATTTATTGAACTAACTAAGATTTGCAAAGCACGAGAATCAATGTTAGGATGGTCAGCACCAAATCGAGGCAAACTCTGAATACTAGATATGACCTCAAAATAACAAGGGTCAAGGTCGGCTAGTGAGACGATGGGGGATAAGCTTCATCGTCGAGAGGGAAACAGCCCGGATCACCAGCTAAGGCCCCTAAATGACCGCTCAGTGATAAAGGAGGTAGGGGTGCAGAGACAGCCAGGAGGTTTGCCTAGAAGCAGCCACCCTTGAAAGAGTGCGTAATAGCTCACTGATCGAGCGCTCTTGCGCCGAAGATGAACGGGGCTAAGCGGTCTGCCGAAGCTGTGGGATGTAAAAATACATCGGTAGGGGAGTTCACTCAGACCTGAACAGAACAGAAGAGTACAGAACAGAGATGTCTATAGCTCACTTTAACTGCAGCCTAGTAAATTGATAACAAACAAAACCTTGAAGGTATCCAGATTGTTGCTCTATGCATAACACTCTGTTTAACTGAAAGCAACAAATAACAAAAAACTTGAGATCCCCCATCATTGTCGCTAGCAATGGGAAGAGCTGCAACTACTAAACTCATAGTTTCAACATGGCAGCCTACAGCATATGAATAGATTTTCAACTATACACAGAGGTTTGGAACCTATAGGATATAGGACAGATGGAACTGCATACAAGAAAGTTTCAAATATTCTAACAATGCTCATTGGGAGGGAACAAGATTTTCTCATGTGCAACGTGGGTATAGAAACTACAAATTACGAACCCATCATACATCTTGCGTGAGTGGAACAGCTTCAATCACAACACAGTTCTAAGAACCCCAGTTCGGAATGTTAGCTGTAGCTTCATTTACCATTTTTACCAGAGTAACCTGCCAAAAACAAATACATACATACTCAACTAGAGAAATTGGATGAAAGGTCAAAATAAGATCTCTGTCATTGACCACAGACACTTCATGCATGCCACAACATCAAAATAGATCTCTCAACATTTAATGTCGATTGTTAGGCACCTTTATGGAGATGAAAAATATACGTCATCTAAGCTCATTTATAGATCAAAAGAAAATTATTAGGGACATTGGCACTCGGAACACACAGAGATGAAGTATATTTCACAAATAAAATATGTACTAATTATTGTTTGCTTTAAATAAGCCTTGTTTCAGGTCAAATACTTTTTCGTCCCACCCACTATAATTTGCTGTTAAAAGTTCTATCGAAATAAGCTCACTTCCATTTAAGGGAAAGTTACTTAATTGTACACAGTTACCATTAACCAATATATAACCTATCAACTAGATCAATTGTTTTTTTTTACTTAGACACATAAAAGAAAAAGGAAAAAAAAATAGATTAGGTGAATCTATGAGGGAAAGTTGATATTTGTGGAGCTAGTTCATTAAGTTAGAATTTGTTTTGGAATAATTCAAACTGATATTGAAGTATCTGACAGAGTGTAATGAACAGAGTTGACAAAGAAACTAACATATGGAACAGACTTTAAAAGCTAATCATGAAAAAAGCTTAATTTTGTTCTCTACACATTCGAGGCTTCAACTTCTGATCAAGTGAAGAAAGCATTCAATTTCTTACCAAGAGCATGATGCAAATGAAGATAAAGGAAATCATCCCTGTTCACTATTTCCATAATTTGAGGGCTATTATAATTGATAATTTCTTCTGATACTTCAAAGCCTTTTGCGAATATCTCACCAGAGTTTAGAATTTGGAAAACTTTACATGCTACTAGTAAATATTTTAGTAGAAGATGATAAGACTCTTTTGTACCTTTTCACTTCTACCACCATTATTTCTAAAGTAAATCATCCATTGAGTAAAAAGATAGCAATGCCAGTGTTAACAGCAATAGAGAAAGCAAAACAAAATAGAAATGGGCGTTTATCAGTAAAGTAATTATGAGCTTTATTTTTAAAATATATTTGAACAATAAGATATGATTTTAATTATTAGATGTATAATTTGATAATAAGAAAAAAAATGCCTCCGGATTCCTGGACCCCTTCTTGTTATGACCTGGTAACTAAAGCTTAAGATAGAGACTGACTAAGACAGGAAACCATACCACGCTCTCTGGAACACCAGGTGGAGGCAGAGAAAGGTTCTTCGGTGGTCAGGTATTATCATATGATCTTTTGTCGAATTTCCAGTCTCCAATTTTTCCATAGGTCATCTTTCCCTGAAATGCATGTTCTTCCCATCAATCATCATTATGTTTATTACATGTAACTTGGTATTCTCATAGTCATAAGAAGTGGCTATTACCTTCATATCATAGTCACATCCATATGTGTAATTAATTATGAACACCTTGCCTATTTCTGTATCCCAAGGAGGCTGAAAACATTCAACAATTCATGGAAAATTAGATTTCTGGTACATAAGGAAGAAATAATGCAATGAAACTTCACCTCACAACCAAATAATGATTTAAATTTTCAGATGTACTCCCCATGAAACAAATAAAACCACAGTAAGCAGGAAGTCTTTGCAACTTTGGTATATGAAAAGCAGAAAAGCAATGCTGCTAACCACACCAATGAAAAGGTTTAAAGGAATGAAATCAGGTCTATCTGAGATAAATCTTACTGTATCAGCAGATGCATATATGGAACAGATGAAGGTTTGAGAATAAACGAGGAGAGCTGTGCTATTTCAGTTTGCTCAAAGTAGTGCAAACTTCTAAAGATCGTACAAAAATTAAGAGGAAAAGGCAAAAGCTACAGGAAGTTGATACTTCTTACAAGAATTGCATTGCCATTGAAATTACAACTCCTGTCTTTACGCATGTTCCAGACATAGAATCAAAATTTATAGACTAAAAGGGCTCATTTTGCTGGGGAACAAGTTATACCATGATTAATTATCCCGGAATTAGTTATCCCACCCTCAATGCAGGATAAAAATAACACTACAATCCTGGGATAACTGATCCTAGGAAAGTTATCCCGCGATTTTATCTCAACCAAACATGAGAAAACTCATCAGAAAATGAATTCCGAGATTAGTTGTCAACTTATTCTTCGTACCAAACGAGCCCTAAGAGTTTTCTAGTGAAGCAACAAATTTCTCTTAAAAAGAAAAGGTTTAATGTTTTACCAAAATTCATACTTCTGCAACAATTTTTGTCTCTATTGCTAAGGGGAGATGAAGCATCTCACAGAGGAAGTCTTCAGCACATGAAATATAAACATCAAATCTTTGGTTTCATTGTGTATAAATAAACAAATGGCTATTCTAGAACCTGGATGGTATGAAAGCCTTTTCTCAGAAACCTCTTCAAATTTGGCCTATGTTTATATCCAGAAATATCTCAGTGCTATAAGCAAGTCCCAAATGCACAATATACTTTGGAACTCTTAGATAGGCACTCAAATCAGATGGAAAAGGTGTATACTGATCCATGATTCCCAGAATACATTCACATGGCTTTTCCTTGGCAATATTCCACATTCCTTAGCACTTTCAGAAATAGTAGTCTATTCGTATTAGTAGTTAGGTTAGCATTCTATACAAGGTAGTTAGTGAGCATAGCATCTGAAAATGCATAAGTACATGACACCAGTGATTCGTTTTACTATACATCGTAAGCATCTTCTGGGTGTTTTTTCAGTAATGAAACTAGCACTTTTACCGGATCAAAGAAAAATAACCCACACACCATATTTGAATAATTTGTTTGGGCAACAGCATATCTTCTTTATTTCTGTTTTGGCTTGGAGTGGAAAAGGCAATAATGTAAACTAACAATGGAATAAATAAATAGGAAAACAAATGATGATACCTGAATCATGATTCCTTGTGCAATACATTACCGACATTATGCAAAGCAGATGCAACTGCATAGGCATACCTGCATATGAATTAATAAAGTTGAGGCAATTTGTGATTATGCATTATTATTTTTCAGTGACTAGGTAGGGCAGGGTGATTACATCTCAAGCACCCAACCAAAGGCTTTGTCTGCTTCAGGATCCTGTTTCATAGCCAAAGAAACATTCATCCATGTGGGAGCTATCTTCTTTAAAGCTTCCTAAAGTAACTTTTTTCGTTTAGAAAAGCAACAGGAAGAATTAAGTAACAAACTTATTAAAAGAAATAATGAAGTACCTAGGTAACAATAACAGGGGAACTTCCTATGGGATCAATATCAGTTATAGGTCCGTTTTGTTGAGGGAAGAACTTTCTTAGTACAGAGTCGAACTTTTTGGGTTCAATGTAAAAGAAAGGAAATGCAGCTCCAAGTCCATCTTTAGATAGGTTAGGGATGTTCTTGACAATAACATGATCTGGTTCTGACATCAATATGTAGTCTTTTTCATTTTGTGCTTGTTGGAGCCATTGAACAAAAGCCCATGGTCTATTGAGGACAATATAACCCTGAAATTGACATGGAGATGTGAGAAACGGAATAGGAAATTGTAGATAG